AGTATAAACCAAAATAGTTGTTTAAGAAGAAAATTTCATCTCCAATTTTAGGAAAAGTGAAAAAAAAAAGTCTAAATGAAAATCCAGTAAATAAAAATGAAAATATAACTTGTTAGATATTAAAACAGGTTAGGGTAGATAGCAATCTTTGCTATAAAAATATTGTAAAGTTATTTATATCTGAAAATTCTAAAGAAAAGAAAATTCTAAAGAAAAAAATAATTAAAAGTTTTGGTGTTTTAAGCTTTGAGAAAAAACTGGTGGATCAGAAGGAAAGTAATTTACTATGAATTCTTTAGAAAAATAATCCAGCCACAAAGATTGTTTTTCTCAGATTACATTCCATTGCCATGAAAGAAATGGTGGTAAGTAAACAGGATGGTTGCATTTATATATATATATATATATATATATATATATATATATATATATATATGTGTGTGTGTGTGTGTGTGTGTGTGTGTGCATATAATTACATATATCTGTGAATATACATGCTTAGACATATTTGTGTAAGTGACTGCATGAAAATAAAGTTTTTTTTCATTTTAGATTTATATACATGCACCCATATACACACTGGTATTTGATGTCATACACATGTCATCATGTTTGTAATATAGCTTTTTGATAGAGAGTTTAATTGGGAGTTTTATGAATATATCCTTGCACCAAACTTGGCTTTGGCTAATAAAATATATGAGTGAGTATTCATATATGATAGCTGTCTACTCATTAAACAAACATAACTATCACATTGTCTTTTTAACTTCAGTTATGAGTCTGACATTGACTTTTGAAACCAGAATGTGACTCACAGACATAAAAAAAACAAGGTATTTCTGGCTGTTTTATTTCTTTATGGCCTTCATCAGAATCAGTTACACCTTTAGGTACCTTTTTTTGGCCAGATTGTCTTTTTTTCTTTTTGCACATTCTACACATGTCAGATGATTGTTGTCAAGAAATGCCTCATGCAGGGCCAGAGCAAGGATTTCATGGGCCCCCACTGAATCTATGATATGGGGCCCTTTACTCTACTATGTTTCAATTTTCATAAGGTAGTATTCATATAAAATACAAATTTTATTGTAAAATAATTGTGTACAAAAACAAATCATGCAATGTAGGTGAACAATTCAACTAGAAAAATTAAAAATAAATACAATATATCTAAATACAAAAAATAATAATAATAATTATATAATGTTTTGCGGCAATTTTTAAATCCAACTTGAGATTTTTCTTGTTAAAAGTTTAATAAGTTTAACACATCCAACTTTATAGATAAAAAAAATAGTGAATTTTATTTAACCCCAATTTGAAAGTTAGCATGAGCAAAACAAATTAACAGATTTGAATAAAAAAGTCAACCTTGAATGACATCAAAATCCATGAAAATTTTTCGTCCTTTAATAGTCAGTTGTGCTTAGTTTAATTTGTAAAGTAAATAAATGTAGACAGAAAAAAGCAAATGTTGATAAGATAGCAAGGGTCACAAAGCACTGCCCTGGGGGCCTCTAATCATGATACTGGAGGGTGTAGGCACTATCACTGTCTCATAGTTGATTAATGGTTTGTCAATATCATTACACTGATAATTTGACAGACTCACCCACATTCTTAGCAAACAAATTGTGATATACCTGAATTGATATTACCACTTTTCCTAGCTGCTCTCTTTGTTTTAGCCCAGATATTAGCACTGTTTTGGAAGCAATGGAATCCACTATACATGATTTTTATTCACCTACTTCTAACACACATCACCATCTGCAGTAGTGATCATCAATTTTACACAGTGCTAGTGAATTCCTTGATGCAATCTTTGAACCATTTCTTTTGCTTACGCTGTGAGTAGGAACCAAAAGATAGTTCCTCATACAGCAATTGATTAGGAATGGTCATCACCAATCCATATGACATAACCCACCCAACAAAATCAATGTTAATAAACATGTGCTTTGATGCTGTTAACATTTGCTTTCTCCAAGACTTCTGTACTGGAAATGTGTTATCCAGTGGATATATAGAACTGTTCTTGAGCAGCACTGATGAAAGTGCTCAAATTGCTTCAGCTGCCACTTGTACACCAACCATATCTCACATGCATATTCATATATACTTAAATGTCTATACACTTATGAACACAAACATTATGACCAGCTGCCTAATAAGGTATTGATGATTTTCATCTATCCATAAAAGGATCAGTTGACAGGACATTAACAGAAGGTATTTCAACTGATGTAAGTTATGTAGTAAGAGTTCTGCAGAGTGAATGTATTCATGCAAGATGTCTCATAAGTGTGCAATAGAATTGATATCTTAGAAGTTTGGTGGCCATGGCAACACTAATAAATGTTCTAAAGAAATGCACATCTTTTAAATTCGATATCTACCTTTCTTTCTATCTATATAATAATAATAATGAAGCAAACTGATAATGCCTAATGAAACACATAAAATTACTAGAATTTAATGTTTTTCAATGCATTTAAAGGTGAGCAGATTTTTGTAAAGAAAGTTCTCAATAAAAAACTAGTGACAACAGTTAATATAAAGAAAAGTTCAAAGGATCTATCTTTGCAAACAACTTTAAGTTTAATGGTTTATATGTGACACTTAAAGTCAGTTACAAAGATCTGTCCTTTGAACATTTCTTCATCTTTTAACTATATCTCTCTTTTTCTCTCTCACTATATATATATATATATATATATATATATATATATATATATATATATAAAATGAGTCGACTTCAACAGTGTAAGGGACGCAACTCTTTCCGTCTGAAAATGTCTGACACGCTGCAACGCAAAGCAATGTACACCAAACACGGGTGTAATGCCATTCTGCCAATTTCTCCAAGCGACCTGCTTTTATGGATCCCAGACACACCTCATTAGCATGTGTGTAACGCGACTTTGCGTGACTGCACGAGACCGTGAATATTAAAAAGTCACGGACGCCATCTTGGATCTTTTCTTTCTTTTCTCAACCCACAGGCCAGACAGACGCGAGGGCGTTTGGGAGGCAAGCCATTTCTATTTTCCCCACTATATATATATATATATATATATATATATATATATATATATATATATATATATGTGTGTGTGTGTGTGTGTGTGTGTGTGTGTGTGCATATAAAAGTTCTTAGAATATATCTGTAGAAAAGACAAATTGAATAAAATAGACAATAGGAAAATTTTTACACATTGTTAACATACTTGGAGAATTTTTCCAGGTTAAATTGAAGTAGCAAGTGTCAGTTATTTGGCACCAGGGACAGTAAATAAAACTGATTTTTATCTTTTTTTCTCCATTTTTATTATTCTGTGATAGTTTTGTAGACACTCTGTATATAGCTGAATATACTGCAAAATCGGTTCTTTCAGAGTCACTGATTGCCAATCTAGCACCTCAATTAAAAAAGACTTTCCTGAATCCCACTCAATACTACCAAATATCCAATGACCAGAGTGCCATTGCCCACAATGGTATTTATAATTGTTGTGTATGAT